AACTCAGCTAAAGAGGAAATGATCGTTCTTTTTTGAAACTGTAACTGCACGATATCCCATTCGTAACGAAACGAGTTTCGATCGATGCAACGTAATTATTCGCATCTCGTTAATCCACGTCACGTCGCGCCGACGGATATTTCATAAATCACCGACGGTCGTGTGTGCTTTGCAACGAAAGAAAAAAAAAATAGAGGGAGAAAGGAGAGAAAAAGAAAAAAGTAATCGGCGAAATGATGCGCTCGTCAGCGAGCAAAGTTACTTGTCAAATGGTAGCCACATTGTTTTACGATCTCAGCGGCACCGGGACGAAATTAATCGGCTATACTGTAGCCACGGTTCGGACATCGACGATTAATTTCTCGTTTTATAGCTTCTCGATGTAGATTAATTAACTTTGAACAGCACTGGAGGCATTCGACTTTCTGTCAGTTTAGTAGATTTTTCACGAGAATAGATTCTCGAATTATGGGGAAAAATGGTTAACGTATTTGGTGACATTATCAATTGACTTAAATTATTAGTACTGTATCGATCTCTCGATTAGCTTTATTTCATAACGATTGAATATGCCATAGTACATTTCTCCTAGTAATTACTCAAGATTCTTTATTCATACGAAGATTAATATTATTCACACTTTTTAATCCAAAATTCGTATTGTAATTTAAATGACAGTTTACGTTACTTCACTAATTAATTTTTTATTTGTCTTGGTAATTAATAATATTATTAAAGGCTCTCGCATTATATGGAAAATAATTTTTCAATTAATTTTACGATCGCACAAACTTAACATTTGCCGCTTTACTTCCTTCCGATATCTGAACCCTTGTATAAAGATATCTTCCGTTAAAAAAGTAATCCGGTTACGAAAGAAACTACCAAACTTCGAAAAACGATCCAACGATGTCATAAAACGCGGTAGGACCCTCGAAGCTAGAAGACAATTTTCTCTCCCCGATAATGGACAGATTTTCCGCTATATCTGCACGATACGAAACGAATTTCCGCAATAATCGACGACACAATGACGCTTAAGCTTCCGGCCCGTTCGCTATTTATTAGACGGAAGCGCAACGCAGAGGCAGAACGACATTTATATTCATAACGAAACCAGTTCCGTCCCCGTTTCGTGCCGCCGGCGATATTTACCCTCGGCAAATATAACATAGAAATCATTCACCGAATCGCCTGTTCCCCCCACACTCCTACTTTCCAATCCTTATTCTTATTCTCGCGACCCCTGCCATTCTCGATTCCATATCGCCCGTGCATTCCTTCAGTTGTTGATTCTTCCCTTCCGGATATGAAAGAAACGTATACATAGGAAACTAAGTTTTCGGATTCAATAATCTCAAACGTATCCATATAATAGTCAACTCATTGTCCTACTTGGAATAATTGTACACGTTACTATTACTGACATTAATTCATAAAGTATTCAATTTGTCTGAACAATTTATCAATTCGTTTCCAATGCTTTCGTTCATCGCACAAATTCGACTATACGCGTCGATAAATTTTGTTCTTAGAAAAATGCTCCTATAATGAGGATAAAGTAAATGTCTGACTGGTCGTGGTGTTTTCTACTGGTCGCGCAAGTATTTTTACTTTATGAATACAAATACGATTATTCGTATCATGCGTTTGCTGTATCGAATTACAGAGAAGACGTATTTGTAATTTCAGATGTAAAATAAGTAAATTAATCGTCGATTGTTATATGAGTCTTTAAAACTCTGAAAAATTGCAGAAACGAAAGACTTTTGTTATTTACTTTCGATTAACTATCATATTCTTTTGTTTGATATTTTCGAGCGAACATGTACCTTTTAAATTCAGAAATATTTCAGGCAAGTCATAAAGTTGCATAGTTATAAACAATAGTTTGCGCACGCAATTCTGTTACGCTGCGCGGACGATTCATCACAGGAAACCTGGATTTTTATTCGAAAAACTGTTTCCATTTTTAGAGGAAACTTCAGATATTTTGTCCAATTTAATAACGTGCTCTGTACGAAATTGCAAATAAATTTTTTCGACAATATAAAATTCGCAAAACGGAAATCGGAACACAGTACAACATTTGTTTCGAAACATTGACGCATTGATCGTTGACGTGATTATTATTTTAAACGTAGATTACCAAAAAAAGTATTATTGTCGAATGTGAAACATAGAAACATTTGCTCATTTTGAAACGATATCTAATATCGAATATTTTCTTATACGAGAAAACGAGCTGAAAATGATCAATAATTTGTTCCACGTTTCTCAACACAAATCTGCTAAAATTCCTTTTTTTATAACATAATAATTTCAGAATTTATTTCTGCTAGTTTGTTATTATTTCTTTTTCTTCTTAAGTTCGACACAAGTCAAATACACGATTGAAATTTGTTCGAGTGCGATTACAATACTTCGCGCAAGTTCGCTAATTCCAAGTTCAAAACACGATTGAAATTTACTCTACGTTCTATAATCTATTGTAGAATCTAGATAGTTCAGAATTCAATTAGTTACAACCTTAAGATATAATCAAGTAATGGCTCCTCTAGAAACACTTGAGATGCATTTAATACGTAACCTATTATAGAGGATTTAATGCTATAGACAAAGAGCGATACAATCTAAAGCTGTTCGATAGAATTCATTGAACTATGTATAATTTCGAAGCAGAGGAATACGTCGATAATGAAAATTATGATTGTGATGTTGTTGCGAATTATTACAACACACATTTGCGCATATGCATTTATCTTTTGTATTCTCTAAGCATATTATTTTATTTTTCTCAATGATTATATTCTCGCAAATATGTCAATCTATCAAATAATTGTATTTGTCCGGTCGCTACACGCATGCAGGTAAGTTTAATTGCCTTTATTAACCAATAATTAAACATGCAACTAAATTAATAACTGACCCGCAGTATAGTCTGAATATATGTACTTCATGTTGAACTTCCTATTTCGTTAGTAAATCGAGCGTAAAATAGTTTGTATAATTACGCGTTAGTATCTGATTAATAATAATGTGAATACTAAATATCTTCTTCCGTAAATAACAATTTTTGACGTCTTATAAATACGTAATACGTGACAGAAAAGTTTGTTCATTTGTCTGAAAATTATATATAATAAACGTGTAAAAATGTTCAATTCTCAAGCTTCGAAATTATTTATCCAACTTTTTGCTGCCTTCATAATTATCATTTTTGTCGTCCCGTACGTAATGTCTAGATTCTTACAGAACGATAGATTATCGATAAACAATCAAATTATCGGTATAAGGAATAAGAAAACGGGAAATAAAAATCAATGGTGTGAACGATTCCAGTGACTAGATAGCCGCCGTTCGACCCTAATTTCAGTCGGCGATACGTTTAGTAAATTCCGAGAAGAAATTACTCGCACCGTTCTCGTATTAATCCCGTTGCATGACAATGACCGTACAAGCGGTACGCTACTGCTTGCTCTTCCATTTCGGTAAACGCATGGCGGGAAAATCTGCTATGTAACCTCGAACGTGAACGTGATCACGCCGTGCGAACACGTAAATTCAAAACGATCCGCTGCTCATTCTGGTTAGCATCAATCGGCATGATGCGTCCCGCCTATTTGCGCTTCGTGCTTTTTCAATCGTGTTACGTGATCCGGAGGACTGGTTAAAGGCAAACGTAAAGAATTTAGGAACTTCTGTCCCGCTATATACATTGTTCGAATGAGAAAAAAGAGTAAATTCTATCGATTTTATCCTTTGAACAAACGTCAAAGTATTTTAACGAATAAAAGGTAACTCTAGAAATTAACTGTTTCGTTTGCCATATTTTTAGTTTCGCGTAGTTGCATCCTTTCGTCGTACGTCTCTCTCCAAGACGAATCAGTTTCAAGCAAAGAAGAATTTGAACAGACTCGAGTTCTAATTTTTAATTTTGAAGATATTTCTTTGATTTTGAGAATAAATGGACATTGAATGTTGTTTAAACGAGGTATGCTATGGAGCTTGAAAGCTCAACGTTTCTTATCTGATTAAAGCACATTATTTAAATTATATCGACTAGTAGTCACCTCCAAAATTATCAATTGTATAATCACATAATCTTTTCTCTTAGAATATAATCTTAAATATAAGCAATATAAGCTTAGATATAATATTGCTTATATAACATTGCTTAAATATAAGCGATAAAACTTCATACGCTCGACCCAAACAATCGACTTATAGAAAACCAGGAGTGGAAAATCTCGCAATAAGACGCTCCTTAAGGAATCTTTAAATTGCTGGCTGAATAAAGAGTTTGGAATCCATCCTCTTTCGATCAGAAGTCGAATCACGCGTTATCTCCGGTATCATTAAACAACCAATGCAGCGATGGAAATTGCCGTCAGTAAGCGTTCTCCGGCGTCGCGATAAAAGTCCAACGGATCGGATAAATTCATGAATGTTAGATGCCTGTTGGCTCGAGAGGAACGCGCATTGATCCCTGAAACGTATCACAATTTCCGCAGCCAGACACGGGTCGACTCGACTTCAGTCGATTCTGATGAATATTTAATTCACGAACCACGATAAACGGTGTGCTAGCAGAGTCTCGGAGAAAAGCGTGAATTTTTTCTCTCCAAATGCAAGGATATTCCTTGAGCGGGATCTTTAGCTTCTAGCGATGATTTGGATGAATAATTGCGTGAAAAAATCAATCTTTTTGGAGCGATGGTTTGCCGATAACCAGAGTAGCTATACATCTATTATTTTCAAATTTATCCGATATTGAATATTTTTTTTTTCTTTGTCAAATAAATTTTGATACGTCGACTTGTATCGGTAAAAGTGCAAGAAAGCAGCTGGAGAAGGTGTTTTACATGATCGAACATTTGGTATACTAAGCCGATTAAACGTGAAATATATCCCTATGATAAAGTGTTAGTTTGGAGTAGGTAAAGTGGTGCGAAGAGCGTTCTACAATTTAGCAAGGCTCTATGATTTATGATTCAGATTTATTGGTCTTTGTCAAGAGATCTGTGGTTCATTGATGCTCGTTGATCGATTGTGTTCAAGGATTTAATAGTTAATTTACCATACACATTTAGTGCCATCTTTTTCTGCAAAGATTATGTAATTACAGTTCATAAGATTATGTTTCGATCGAAAAGATTATGTAATTATAGCTCGTAATATTGAGACGTGTAGTGGGTATTCGTCGATATAATTTAATTTCAAGTTTACGTAGAATCTATAACTTTAAATTAAGATCTGAACGTTCTTTTACAATTAATGTCGTAGATTTAACTGACCGAGTATGGACAAGGAAGATCCTGAAAAATTTCATTGTACCCTCAGTAGAGTATCAAATACATCCATTTTGTTAAAACTACAAGTGCCCATCTTAATGTTTCAATTTTCTTCACTTTCGATCAAAAGCGATTTAATATTAATAAATACCAGGATCTTAGTATTAACATTTCCCAATGCTTTTTAAATTATAATATTTAAAAAGTCTCTCATTCGTACACATTCCATAGTTCATAGAGAAATTCCTTTAAACGATTAATTCCATCGGAGGGGACACTCCATTGCCTTCGAACGAGTAATTGGAGGTACGACTGTCAAAACGATATACGAGTCACAGAAAATCGAGCATAGCGACTATGAAATGAAAATATTTATTTGAGAATCGACAAATCGCGACGCTCACGGCGATCGAACGATCGAGTATTTTCAACGTTTACCAATTACAAAGGAAAATAGCGAAATTTAGAATCACGGTGTAACGAACTTTCCAGCTGGAGAGCGCTGACTTCGCGAAATAACAACCAGTGTTCCGATTAAATTAGTTTTCGGCTCGCGTATGTGTCCCCGCAAACTGTAACAATATTTATCTCTGCACACACGTGAATTGCAGCATAAAAGGAAAGAGTGTCAACCAGACAGTTGGAAAACTGCGGCTGATAAAATACGCAGGAATAACGAAATTAAATGGATTATGTTTCGATCACTAAACGATTAATCGTATTATTATAAGAACGTAACAAACGATATCTCCGTAATGAAATTTTTATATTGTCAAATTTTTATTTTTAACTGTCTACTAATTTCATTTCATATTTAATTTTGAAATTTTAATATTTAATTAGATATCTCAATGTTCTAACATTTAATTCTTCCTTATGAAAATACGTGGAAAAAGTGGTAAAGTAAGAGTACCAAGAATATCAAAATTTCTCTAAAAGCACGAGCTTCTCTACACATGCTGTACCAAGGAGCCGTGATACTCTGCATGATTTCGCAATTACGAAAAATTTATGGAAGGTATAAAGCGACTTTGTGCGTTAAGAACGCCGCAGAAAAGGTTTCAGGACTGAATGACTTGGTTGCCCCGGCAGTTACTTTTAATTAGAGCGCTAGAAACGCTCTATCTTCGAGCGTTTAAAGAGGGAGAAAGCAGAACAGCGACTTAGCAGCAATTTTTACCCATTAAGACTCGAGCAAAAGCCCCGCGAGACTCGTTCTATGAAGAATAAGACGAAGATTTTCTTATACAGATCTTGTCTGCCTTTCGTCCCATTCTTACAAAACTTTTGCTTTCTCCTCTCTCATAATTACTCGAATATTCGATTCGCAATTATTCTCACCATTATCATGAAAGGTTTACTCTGCAGAAGGAGCAGAATAATTTCTTATCTTCCGATCTATTGTTTATTAATGAAATGCAGAATGTTATTCATAATAGGGTTCGACAGAAATGTAATGATAAAAGTGGATTTTATGGAAATTGTTTTAATATCAATATTAATTTATGTCTCCATTTTAACACAATTTATGGCGCATTGATACTTTTTCGGAAAGATTTCAATAATTTTCATCAACATAATTTTTATATGAAATTAATACGTTTTGAAGCAAACGTATTTTGCGAGGAAAGTTATCCTATTTCATCGCCTTACTTTTGATATACACGAAGTTATTGAACTTTTGACAAGCATAACTTCAACGATATTTCCCTAATTCTTTAATCGTAAAAGTTACGCTCTATCTAGCCAGTTGTCATTCTACTAAAGTTTCAGATAATATGTTATAATACTGTACGTATTTATAAATATGGCAATGATTTTTGTGATGATCGTTGATTGCCTCTTTCGTATATTGCATATTTCGTTTATTAATTTATCGCAATAAATATGAAAGTGTATGTAACGAGATACGAGATACGGCCAAGTACTATTATTTTATTGCTAATTATTTACTAATTAATTATTAATTACCGTTTAACTGCAAGTAATTACATTAACGTCGACCTTGCAGAAAATTTGAAATATTCCAACAAAACGTCTGATCGGGAAGTAATATTCATGTTTTAACCATATTAAAACAGAAAATAAATTGATATTTTTCATTTTCAGTAACTTCTGATAATTTAAAACGTTTAATATCGAACAAAATATAATTACGAAATGTTTAATTTATTAGAACTGAAACCGAGTCGCGTCAAAGAATTAATTACCATCGATATATGAAATTTTATCGTTCTTTGACACTCACCCTTCGACTGTTGCCATCCTTTGGGGTCAGATCCGAGGCCACCGTGCCGAAAATGGTTGGCTGTAACAGGAAACACATAGTTTCTAATCGATCGGAATTAATTTATGTAAAAACATTTCTACATACACTATCGTTTATAGATATTCGGACGCACTGATTAATTATGTTAATAATATATAAATTTGATCAGAGTGTTGAGATTCTTTCCTGTCAATTTAGAAGATCATCCCTAATCTGACATAAATGTGAATACGATTGCTTAAACATTTTCACTTTACTCAAATGTATAAATTCTGATAGAATAAGTACACTTATACACTTTATATATATTTTTATAAACATGTTATACGATATTTTTTAATTTTTCCTTATCGCTACGAACTCTGCAAACAACTCAGTGGAATAATTATAACGAATAAAACCGCTGCAATTGTTTTTATCTGTAACTTCACAATTAAGATACATTTTATCAAAAATGAGCAAGCGTCCGCATATTTTTGAACGGTAGTGTATATAATTCTAAAGTAAGAAACTTCCAGGATAATGGAAGGAACTGGTGTTTTGGAAATAGAAAATTTCGCGAAAGAAACGCGTTATCGGACGAAATTCGTAGAAGAGAAGCGAGTCGATTTAGGGAGGCCGGAAAAACTTCGGCGATCGGCCATTAGAAAAGCGGCAATTACATCTCGCAGCTTTTAGGTGGCCAGGAATATCGTGCTTTTTGACATCGATCGAAGAGCTGTCAATTCGAAATAGAGGCATGATTTCCCTCCGTGAAATCGTCCGGATGTTACGGGCAAAACTGGGAATCCCGAAACGCGGCCTGTAAAAGCTGTCGCCTCGTAAATCTGCGGGATGCCATCTAGTTCGGTGGTTGCAGTCCAGCCATTAACTGCCCCTGACCGAGAAAATGCATTCGCCTAGTTTCATCTAACAAGGAACGAGTAAGGGGCAGAGGAGCAATGTAAAATATAAAAAAGGATGTAGAACGGAGTGGGAGAGGATAAGAATTACAGTCTGAATATATGGTTTATGTAAAAAAAGGAAGCGGAAAGTGGGTGATTTAACGATGCAATTTCGCTTAATTCGACCCTCCTTCGGGGCAAGTATATACCGAAGTAACAACTGCGATGTCTCATTATTTGCGCAATGGTTGGTAGTCGTACTTAGATGGCGTAACGTTTCTGAGAACTGGACACGGTTGGGTTTTGTGCATCTTTATATTTTTACGAATGTAATTAGAAGATGGAATTTAAATAGAAAGAATGAAGTAGTATAATAAATACTCTGTTTTGAATATTTTATGTATGATATATTTTTGTATATTATATGCTTTATGTGGATTTTACACCTTCGATTTTTCCACGAATAGATAAAAATGCGCAGTCTAGTGATAACTATAGAGTTTGCACGATGTACTTTATCGTTGAAGATAAAATTGCAGCAATTGTTAACGTTAAATCGTATCTTTTTCATTTTAATTTATTGGACATTTTTGACGATATTACGAAAAAGTTTTGACAAAACTGTTGCGATACCTTTGGAATTTGTATGATATTCTGTTTGAAAATAAAGTCGTAACATGTGTAAACGATAGACTCGATGTTTGAAAAATTTTCTAGAAATTTTGTATAATTTTATGAACTGATGAAACGACGTTACGTGTACTTAATTGTTTCTACTTTAAAATAAAGTTGCGGTAGATATAAATGTCGTACTGTATTTTTATTAAAAATTGTTGGAAATTTTTTTGCGAATTTTGGATGAAACGATGTTGCACGATGTTATGAGAAAGTTTTAATGAACGAGGAAAATGCAATTTCCTGATCACATATCAGATATCTACATGTATTATAAATAAATATCACGTTAAATGTACGCATGGGCAAAATTAATAATGTCCATTTTTTAACATTCCTTTATATACATCTGGAATATTTATATTATACATTTACACACGTACATGAGCGATGCTTCCTTCATTTTACACTTATCATTTTGCCTCGTTTATTTTTGAGCAAACAAATTACAGCACAGTCCTGGATTAAATTTTGAAAATCAGATAATTAAACTGTATCATCAATTACATCTCACGAGCGAAAATCCATGTAGCTCCAAATTCTCATAAACAAAAAAATCTCATGGTATCGTCAATTCGGTATTCTAGACTTCAATTCAAATCAATCTTCCAAGCGAATCAATGGAATCGGAGCCAAAAAATGAATACGATACATCATATGAGTGCTACTTCAAAAATCAATGATTCCGTGAATTCAAGAGGAAATAATTCCGTGAATTCAAGAGAGAATATTTCCGATCGCCACCACCGAAAGTATCTTGATCAAGCTAAAAGAAATTCAGATTCATTAAGCGTACTTCTACTACCAGAATAACAATTTCCGATAATAATTATCGTTGTACGAGACAATAAACAGTGATTAAAAAGTACGTAATATGATCGCGAATTTTACATCGAATTTAAGTATTCGTGCTGTGGATAACAAAGGAATAGAAATAGAAAAGAATGCAAGAAATTGGACTTCCCATGAACTTCGCATAAATTTCCATCATTGTCTTGATGTCTGGGATATGATAATGATACTTAGAATAATAAATACATAATATTATAAATATCGTTCGCTGTTTTCGACACGCTATGTACTAGCTAGTGATTATAAATTGAAAATAAAGGTATAGGTTGATCGTGAAATACGAGTTTCGTGCATAGAGCACGATTGTTCCATCAGAAAATTGATCACGCATAATTTACCACGCTACTGTGTGCAAATGGCCACAAATCACCCAGCAGCACTCAATCAGCCTCGACTAATTTTCAGATGAATTGATTTGATCGACGATTATACAATCACGATTTCCCTCGTGACCTTTAAATGACCCATTTAAATGATCTTAAGTCCTAACGACGTAACCTCGATGAACCTGCGATCTTCAAATGGCTGCTAACGACACGACCTCAATGACTTCTACGAGCCTACAAATGACCGTAGTGTTTAACTATGCTTTGTTTATAAAGTAACGCAATTTAAGTGTTATGGAAAATACTGTAAGTTAATTTGCAGGGTGTGTAAAGCGTTAAACAAACGCACGGTCCATTTAACTCAATTCATCTGTTTCACATTCGCAATAACGTTCCTATTTAACGCGCAAAGAAAACAAAATATATGATCGGCTGACTTATAAATGATCACCGATGACAGAATGATAATATTGACCTATATGTTTCAAATAAATTTCAACGCAAATGATACGATTTCAATGATCTTCAAATAGTCGCTAATAACACGATCTCTCGAAGAATTTTCTTTTTCATTTCACGAACTAGATAATATGGGATACGAATATGGGGAGCATTGAATATAAGAACATAGTTAAAACAGAAAATATAGTTAACGCAATTAATTATTTGTCGATGACGTGCTATTCTAATCCATTGGACATTCGCGATATTTACGCGAGATTTATCGTTAAATGACAGAATAGTGCAGCAGATTGAAACACGCAGTCCGATGTTGACAACAAACGACAATCGTAGTAACGCTATTGTTTGTAATTCCAAATGGGATCGAGTCAGTTGTGAATCGATCTGACGAATACCGAGTTCGTTAATTATAATGAATCGATGGATCAAGTAGTCAATTTGGTAAAGCCTATTTCATTAACGAATTAAGGAAAATAATCTGTTCCTGTCTTCTGTAATCTCTTATCGATTTACGTAGCAATGCTACGTTTCTTACAACATTACGCCCTATATCATCAAAGACAGAATTTATGCAGCAATTCGATATTTAAAAGGCAAAACAGTAATAACTGTACCGATAACGATACCGATATCGTTGAACAATTTCTATGAATTATAAAATTAATATCGGATTTTTTCAATTATGTTTCTATAAAAATTTTTATGGTTCTGTGGAAACAGTGAATCGGCGTACGATAGAAAAAATAACTATTATCGTGTTCGGAATTGGTGGAACATCAGTGGAGAAAGGAGAGCGCGGGAATAGCACAATATCAAGCAAACAATTGCAGTTTGTAGCGCCGAATCAATATTGCGTTTCACATGGATAAATGGGACCACGGTGTATGTTCTGTATGCTACACGATGAATCGAGTTTTCCGTTATTGCGTGCATGTTATAGCAACTATGAAAATTAATTAAATCTCCGCGTCCCTACGCTTAGCATTATTTATCCGGTGTTTGTACAAATTTCAAAACATGTAACTCTTTGGATCAATGAACAGCGCGTTGCCACGGACCCAAACGACACAGTGAATTATGAAACCGTTTCTCTATGACACATACGCTCGCTGCAATTGTAAATCAACGAGATTAAACGAGAACAAAAATCGTCGAGCCAATAAGACGACCATAATATCTTTTTAAAATGTAACTTTCATTTCGCGTTGATTAAACATCCAAAGAGACATTTTCTTTTCCTAGTTGGTAGATTTCAATCGTTCTTTATGAAAGCTTCCCATATAATTGAAAGATACGATACAATTTAATCCTCTGTAATTGGATCCTTTTCCTAAGAACGATAGAATTTTCCAATTGATTACATTTTCATTGGGGATATTTCAAGTAATAATTGTTATAAATGAATTACTCGATAACGACACAGTGATATAATGATACAATAAAATGGGACAGTAACTAGTAAAATTATGTAGGTTCTAAATCACATGATATTATAGTGAAATCAATGTGAAAAATTCTCGCGGTATAATAATTCTTTTGGAGTAATCGTTGTTAATATAAGTACACATTGTTATCGATTTCGAGTCAAACAGAACATTCCTATTGTCATTTGGATACGAACACTTTTGTATCCAGTATACGGCTAAACACTGAAATTTCTAAAACGTTGAAAAAAGTCAAAAAACTGTTGGAAATCTCTGTTGAATCGAAAAGTGCATGGCGCATTCTACAATTCGTCGGCGATATCAGGTGAAGATCCTAATGGCACTTTATAATTTATGACGTAATACGGTTAGGTACGACACGTCGAACGAGAAAAACAAGCCGAATCGATTCGAAC